TATTGAAAATTCTTGAACTTTACCCTTAGAAAATTTGGAATAAATACGACCTTTAATTTGATTCCAATGTTTTGTATCACCATTGCTATAATTTATACGCAAAAAGGATCCTATAACGTGTATTTAGATTTAGAATATATATTAATACAATTAATTTGTATAAAAGTAACACTCACCAAGTAAATGTAAGAACATTCCATAGCTTGATTCTTTAACACATTCTGTATTATTAATTCTATCTTTTACTTGTTTAAGAATATCCATAACAGTTTTCCTACCAAAAAATTTGTTTAATAATAATGATACAATAAACAAAACAAGTACGCAAATTATTTGCCTACTTTTCAACTGATAATGTCCAAGGACCAGACACATGTAATAAAAATGGTTCATCCAATCTTTTATGAAAGCAATCCCAAAGAAGAGAAATAACCGAAACTCGCGGTTGCCACCAATCCGTGATAATAGTATTCAATAAGGATATCATTATACGTAATTCTTCATCAATTTCATTTCGTTCACCATCCTTTCCACCTTTAGAAATATATGTTTTCAAAATTTTTTCAATCTGTTCATAGTTAGTTCTAATCTTTAAAGAAATAAATAAATAACATTATTTTATAAATATAAATCCAAATAAGAAAGAAATCAAAATCTAATTACCCTTGAACACTTGGATCCTAAGTATACACCATCATTATTGTATCCATATAAAAGTGAAAGATTATAAATAATCCAGAGACAAAACAATTCAGAATTTTTACAAAGTGTTAAAGGATAGTCATAGGGTTCTTGCTTATTGCTAGATGCATTCCTATTTAAGAGTCCATTAATACATTCATTTACAAGCTCCCAGAAAGTCTGTAAATATACAAGCATGTTATACATACATTCCAAAAAATATGTCTATTAAAAGCTTCTAATGTAGTACCTTTACTTTCATCCTATCAGATAAACTATCAATAAATATTTGAAGCATAAGCCATAATTCACGAATGCATGTACAGTTATATGGAGTTTTCTGCTGCACATGTATTAAAGGCATCTACAACATATTGAGAAAAAGATTTTAAATACACACTTAAATCATTAATCACACTTTATAGAAAATATATATATTTTTTACCGTTTCAAATATTTTTAATGAAATATAAATTAGATCATTAATAATCATTGCTTGAAAACCTTCAAGTTCATCTAATTGATTTTCCCCGGAATATTGACAATTTACATTTTTTATATACACTAATGAAATAAAAAACCATCTTAATTCTATGTGCATATGATACATATGATATTCTGGTTGTTTACACTGTAACATATAAAATGTGAATAATATTATAACTTTAAGCTATATAAACTACAAATACTTTTTTACAAACCTGATTGCCTAATTTAGAGGGAGCATAATGGAAAGTAACATCAGGGATGTTACGTAATCTTTTTAGGAAATATCTCATTGCCTTAAATAATGCATTAAACTCTTCTTCAATATTCTCATTTATAATGTGTAGCAATTGAAAATTCCATTTAATACTACAAAATTATATTCTTTAGGTAATCATTGGATGAAAAAATAATTAAAAAAATAAATTATCTTACCTATTTAAGTACATTCTTATATATAAAATGAATTCTGATATGACACATCTTATATGATAAAAGTCAACATCATCTGTCTTGGAATTTAAAACTTGATTATAAGTTTCATATCTGCTCAGTATTTTCAAATGCATGCTGCAAAAACATTTTTTAAATTAAACATTATTTACTGATTTGCATAATAAAGAGCTAATAGCTTCTTACTCCATGCATTTGATGAAATGTTTTAAATCTAGCAGAACTGTAGCAGCAGGCACAGTACAATCAAAAAGATCTATATTTATGTCTGATAACAAACAATCATCTTGTGGATACAAAACATTTTCCACTTCTCCACGTAAAAATAAACCATCTTTATTCAATTCCCAATCATTAGAATTCACTTTTCCATTGCATTTGAAAGTTAAACACAAATCCATTTGTACAGTGATTTTGGTAGAAAGTACAAATTATTCAATGTAAATGCTTATTTAAATTGAAACACATTTTTCATATCTAAAAATGAAGGAAAATGACAAGTACATATTATACCGAATTATATTAAAAATATTTTATGCAATTATATCTTTCGTTTCGCACTACAAATTGTCAACAAAAAGTAAATGCTTTTCCCTAAGATTTGGCGGTACTTGTAGAAGTGCCATCTATGTATAAAGTATATGATGATCACGTAATTTCAAAACAAGAAATTTCAATAATCTAAATTCTTAACAGTATAATATTTTTATATTAAACTATACATCGTAAAAATAATTTTACTATTTTAATTTACAAACGCAATTTGGCGTAATAAGTCATATGATGTTCTACTTTTTAAACTTGTAGTATGAATGAATGATTTGCTATTGATGGTTCTTCAAATTGGATAATTAGCTCAGGTGTTATTTTTCGTAATTTCACAAGTGTTTCTAATAATCGATTTCTTAATACAATTTTACGAGCTGCCTGAAGAAAGGGTAGAATTTTGCAATAATGTAGAAAAGGCTCTACTTCTTCAGATGATATTGAAATTGTATTTGGATACTAAAAATAAAATTTATGGAGACTTCATCTACTACATATTAAGTAATTTTTAATTAAAGAATGTATACTTTTCGGGAAACCCTTAAAATTCTCTGTCTTATCTTTTTAATTTGTTGTCGCTCAAATAAATCTTTTTCGGAATGTGATATTAAATTTTTATAATCTTCCCTTGTTTGCTCTCGTTGCATATTAATTTCAATAATTTGGTTTTCAGTAGCATCACGTGTTTCATAATTCACTTTTGGTTTGTAATGAAATTTCACTTGTTCGTTTTTTCGGTAATGATCTGCTACCTCTATTAAAAATTCCTTCAATCTTTGCGCTTTTTGCTCCATAGTTTTAAATAAGTATAAATTTAATGGACCTAAATAAGGAATAGTTTATTTGTTCCTGATTAGCATGACATAAGAACATTTTGTACAAAAAGTCTAACCCTTTAATTCATGTTCATGAAATGATTTCCGAATTCTTGAATTTAATATACAGTTTACGGCATGAATTGAGTGCAAAGGAAAATAACCACATTGTTTTAATACAATTTTTTCAAAGCTTCTGTATTTCGTAACAGAATCTTTAAAGGAAGGTTTTGATTTATCTTTTTCAAAGGAAATGGATTTTATTGTTTTAGGAGCTGCAACAATTTTTTGCCATTGCGTTTTGCCTCGCACTTTTGATTTAAGGTTCTCTAATGTTTCTCTAAATATTTAGTCTTTTTTAAATTACATCACTTATTATTTGTATTTCATTTTTTTTATAAAACTTGTGTCTGCAAATATTCTCACCGTAAAAGGCCTGGTCGAGTATATGCGTAGAAATTTATAATATGTGGAGTTTTGCATAAATCAGATATGAATATCCGAATTTGGAAATTCATACTTATATACTTCAGAGGTTTATAAATTATCATAATCATTATAGGCTTGTGTCCTGGTCTCATATAACCTAAAAATCGAATTAAATTTTATGTATCACCGAATGATAAAAAGATTCAAAAATTGACAGAATAAGTATACCCCATCGAGGATAGATGTCAACGCACGACTTTTCATTAGATGGTAAAATCGCGAATGAAAATTCGTTCTTTTCATGAGGATATATTGGCATTTTATAGCAAACCCTTCAATAATAAATAATTAAAATTGTTATTTGAATGGAGCTCAAATTCGATAATAAGCTTACGTTCGACCAAGTGGTACATTTCCAAAATTCACATTATTGGGAAAGGAAAACTTAGGTGTCATCTTAGCAAACATTTTTATTTTTATTACTTGATCTTTAAAGTAGCGTATCCTTAATAGATCATTATAATCCCTATTCTCATTAGGTCTAAACAAAATATTTATTTTGGAAACTGATCCAGGAATAAGCCATGTTCTCTAGAATATATGTACGTAACATTGAAATAAAGAATTTTGAATGAAACGTTTTCTTCGAGCATACAAATCCTTTCATTCACCTGAAGATTACTTTTGATCCGAAAATAATCAGTCTCCAATGGTAAAAATTGAATAGGGCATGATTTGGAAAAATAGTTTGTAATTTCCACTATCTTTTCTTGAACTTTAAAATTTCCAGAGTCGAAAATAAATTCTAATTTTGGAGGTATTACACTTAAGGAGCCATTCTTTGGTTCTTCTTCAAAATAATGTACATTTCTTTTCGTAATTTTATCTATACAATATTGAGTCTGGTTCAATGCATTTACATCCATTCCAGCATTGGAAATTAACGTATTGTAATATTATCAGTGTTGAGCTGCCACGAGAAAATTCTTTTATTTATATGCAATGTAACAGGAAACAGATGAAAGATAAGCATAAAGTGTGATTTGAGAGAAAAAATTTAATTTTCGCGCGAATACATTGTATGTATTTCCATCTGTTTACAAGCTTGTGATAACTTGACAGAAACAAGGATAGAGTACACTATGAGAAGATAGCTACAATTATTTATATTTGAAAATATAGAATTGTTATGCATATTTTAATAGTTTCTTTCACATAAATAATGCTACTGTTTGTCTAGAAAAAAGCAGGTGGTTTTACATACGCTTGCAATAAATTGCCGATTACAAAAAGAAAGTAACATACCTAACGATACGCGTTGAAGTATGATTCACACTACTATGTCAGTTTTTTACGGTTTTATAGCTATGTTTTTATAAATACTTCCGTATTTGTACAAATTGAAAAATTTATTAATCATGAGCGTGCAGGAATTGCGTGATGGGGTATGTTGATTTATTTCTTTAAATAACTGTATTTCATTAAACAATTTTTGAATACATTATAGAAACTGTAATGCCGCAGGTTAGATTCATGTGTCAATTATCCGATTTATTTGCAATTCTTTGTAATATAATGATCTTATTTGTATGTTATTTTTGTATGTTATTACGCCACTCAATGTTTGAAAATTCTCATTAATCTAAGTCCACTGCATCATTGACACAACAATTTTTTAAAGTAGTAACTTTTTGGAACTTTGTGCTACTTTTTATTACATTTTTTAATTTCATCCACTATTAACTTTTGTAGAATGCATAAGTTATACAAGCTTTTTTAGAATGAAACATTGATTTTTTTACAGTCTCCTCTATTACAAGCTATATTTTTTGGAGATGTAGACGAAGTAAAAGCATTATTGGCAAGAAAAGAAGATCCAAATTGGCAAGATCGAGAACAACGTTCTCTTTTGCATGCAGCTGCATATAGGGGAGATCCAGCAATTGTAGAAGTGCTTATATTAAATGGAGCTGCAATAAATGCTAAAGATAAGAAATGGTTGACTCCATTGCATAGAGCTTGTTGCTCAGGAAATCATAAAGTAGTAGAGGTTTTGTTACACCACAATGCAGATGTCAATATCAGGGACCGTAGTTGGCAAACTCCTTTACATATAGCAGCAGCTAATAATTCAATACAATGTGCAGAAGTGATAGTTTCATATTCAACGAACATTAATGTAGCAGACAGGTTTGTGTTTACAGTGTTTTACAATTGATTTATTTAAGTATGAATTAATAACTGTATAAACATTTGCAGAGGTGGAAGAACAAGTTTACATCATGCAGCTTACAATGGATACTTAGAAATGACAGAATTTTTGGTTCAAATGGGCTGTGTAATAAATGCTTCTGATAAACAAGATCGCAGGGCTTTACATTTTGCAGCATACATGGGACATGATGGAATTGTCAAAGCACTTATAGAAAAAAATGCAGATATAGATGTTAAAGTAAAATAATATTTTTAAAATTGTTATTCTTGTTATATATGTTATAAGATTCTATTTATATAGATATTTATATTATTAAGGATCGAGATTTATACACTCCGTTACACGCGGCCGCAGCTTCTGGTAATGTAAAATGTATGCATACATTAATCAAGTTTGGAGCAGATATTGAAGCGAAAAATGTGTATGGAAACACTCCCCTACATATTGCATGCTTAAATGGCCATGCTGATGCGGTTACAGAATTAATTGCTAATGCTGCTAACGTTGGTGAGATGATTTTAAAATTTGTTGAACAAATTTTTGTTTATGACTTTTCTAACAAATGATTCCTTGAACAGAGGCTGTAAATTATCGCGGACAGACACCATTACACGTTGCCGCTGCTAGTACTCATGGCGTTCATTGTTTAGAAGTTCTTTTACAAGCTGGTTTAAGAATAAACGTTCAATCGGAAGATGGACGTACGCCTTTACATATGACTGCAATCCATGGACGATTTACCCGATCAAAAAGTTTACTCGATGCTGGAGCATTACCAGATACTAAAGATAAAAATGGAAATACTGCTTTACACGTAGCTGCTTGGTAAATTTCAATGAAAATAATCAATTTTATCCAATAGTTGCGTTTAGCATTTGTATTAATGCCAAATTTCGTATAGGTTTGGTCACGAATGTTTAACTACAACTTTGTTGGAATATGGTGCATCTCCAGCCGCGCGTAATATTGAAATGCGTACTGCGTTGCACCTCAGTTGTTTAGCAGGACATATCGAGGTAAAACATTCATGCATATATGTACAAACATATTTCTGAAATTCGACATTAAATTCTTAATGAAATTAACAGGTCTGTAGGAAATTATTACAAGTCGATAGCCGACGTATAGATTCGAGAGAAATTGGGGGTAGAACATCATTACATTTAGCAGCATTCAAAGGCTCTGTCGTCTGTTTAGATTTACTCTTATCTAGTGGAGCCAATTTTCGACTAACTGACAATAATAACAGGTTGGCACTTCATCACGCTGCTAGTCAGGGTCATTATCTTTGCGTGTTTACTTTGGTTGGATTCGGAAGTGATTCTAATTCACAAGATATAGAGGGTGCAACCCCTTTGCATTTAGCAGCAGCGTCAAATCCTAGAGATTCTGGTGCTCAGTAAGTATTTCATTTTTTATACGTAATTTGTTTCATAAAACAGTATGTTGAAAAATTCATTTGAATTTGCTTTAGGTGTGTACAGTATCTGTTAAAACATCGAGCCGATCCCCGTTTGCGTGATAAACGTGGTTTCACTGCAATTCATTACGCGGTAGCTGGAGGAAATCAACCAGCTTTAGAAGCTTTGTTAGAAGCTTGTCCACCAGGAAATATGACGGTGTCATCCACTTCCACAGGAAAACCAGAACCTCCATTGCCTGCGCTAACACCTTTACATCTTGCTGTACGATTGAGTAAATCAATAGCTTGAACAAATTAATGTGCTTAACGATCGGAACTGTAATTACTTATATTTGCAGGCATATCATGGACATAGCGAAATATTAAGTTTATTATTGCCATTGTTTTCCAATACTAACATTAAAGAGGATACTGGTAAAACACCATTGGATCTGGCCTCTTATAAGGGTCACGAGCAATGCGTTCAGCTTTTGTTAAAATATGGAGCCTGTGTATCGGTTCAAGTATGATTTTAAAAGATATTTCTTGTCTGCAAGATGAGTGTTACATCAGCATTAGTAATCATTAATATATTTTCAGGATTCAATTACAAGGCGCACTCCAGTGCATTGCGCTGCAGCAGCAGGCCACTTCCATTGTCTGGAACTTCTTTTGGAAAATGCAGAAGATCCAAGCGTAGTGAATTGTTACGACGCAAAACAGCGTACTCCTTTAACACTTGCAGTGGCGAATGGTAACCCAAGATGTGCCATGTTACTTTTAAACTCTAAAGCTGATTGTAATTTGCCGGATATAAACAAGCACACGCCACTATTTCGAGCAGTGGTTAAGGAACGTGATCATCTGCTGGTAGAATTACTGTTGTTGCACGGTGCTCAAGTGGCGATACAAGATACAAATGGTAAAACACCATTGCATCTGGCCGCAGCGTGTGGGAGGTTGGTTCCATTTATCAAGTTAAAAGACTTTTTTATATTTTTACTTAATCGGCTTTAATTTTCCTGCAGAGAGAAAGCGTTAGCTTCTCTTGTCAAAGCTAATTCTGTAGCTGCCACATTAAAAGACGATCAAGGTTGTACCGTTCTTCATTGGGCTTGTTACAATGGAAACTCCAATTGCGTGGAATATCTATTGGAACAAAATGTGATCAATTCATTGGACGGTAAACTTTTTTCGCTTTTAAGTAAATTATTATTCTTGATTCTTAGTCTAAATTATTTTTATATATATATAGGTAATCCATTTTCGGCTGTCCACTGTGCAGTCTATCAGGGATCAGCTCATTGTTTAGAATTATTAATAAATAAATTTGGAGGAAAGACAGTTGCTGCTCCCAGAGATGTTCCAGGTGGTCGATTGCCTTTACATGTTGCAGCTAGTTCAGGATCTGTAGAATGCGCGAGATTGATTTTGAGTTCTGTTGGGCCTGAATTAGCTGGACTCGAAATTCCAGATTATTCAGGCCGGACGCCTCTTCTTTGTGCTGCCATTACGGATCAATGTAGCGCTATTGGTAAATTTTATTTAATGGAAAAATTTCATACGTGTATTCCACATATTTTTACATTAAAAATTGTCTTATGTCAGAGTTGTTGCTTGAGTGGAAAGCTGATGTACGTGCGGTTGATTGCAATAAGAATACAGCTCTCCACTTAGCTTGTCAAAGACGACATTCTGCTGCTGCTTCACTCTTACTGAATTGGATCGACTCTGTTAATTCGAATACTGAAAACACGTTACAGACGCAGCAACAAAGTATTGCTGTAATTAACATGACCAATAAGCAGCAAAGAACTCCGTTACATTTGGCAGCCAGAAATGGACTTGTAACGGTACGAAAATAATTGATTGTTTTTCAAAAATAGTCTTATGGTTCTATTATGAAGAACTGTAAAAATTTGTTTGTATACAGGTAACACGACGTTTATTGCAATTGGGTGCAAGTGTAGTTGCCGTTGATGCAGAGGGACTTACACCCGCATTAGCTTGTGCTCCAAATCCAGCTGTCGCGCGATGTTTGGCCACTATTCTTGCTGCACATGGTATTGACGTTAATTCTAGGTAACTTAACAATGAAATTTTTCATAAATCAGTGATTATTCGTTACTACAGGTCAGAATTGGGAAGCTGCACAACACTCGCCGTCAATTCAACAAACATCAGAAGTATATTTAAATGGCAGAAGTGGCGATTCACAACACAGCTCAGATTCAGAGTTTTACTGACAGCAGGTATTACGCTTCGATCATCAAGCGTTCCAGAATTTAAACGTTGACTCAATGCACGGAAACATTGATGTTGCACGGTTGATTTGGACAAGCTGTTGGTTATTTTCGATTTTAACATAATGCTGCTTATGCTGCATATAAGACGACAGACAGATTTAGTACGATAAATCAGCGCTTAACAATCATTTATCTGCAATTGTCAGCCTCATAACAAGTAATAATGACAATACCTCTATTTGTACCATTAACATTTTCGATAGAACCGCCGCAAACTGCCAAGAGGGGTATGGTAATATTATATGTGTTTAAGCGTTGCTTAAGAGAGCAATAACGTTAGGCTTAAAAAGAAATTTATTGTACTATGCAGTAAGCACGACTATAATTAGGTATCTTGTATCAAGAAAAATACATACCATTATTTTTGCTTTAATATCTTAACATAATTGCATGCACATGCAAATGTGTCTGGTACAAAAATGATTTTGTAGATGCGACATAGACATTCATATAGTGAATTGCTAACATAATTGATACCTCATTGATGAAAAAAAGACACGATAATGTTTGTGTACATTGTCGATTATATCGTATCGTAAGGATACTCATGGACTCGTAAATTTAATTCCTAAGGTGAATTCCTAAGATACACGCCAGCTTGCGCTGTTACTTGCATATTTTTAATAATCAAACGATATTTATACCATCAGATAATAAAGCTTTCTATATTTTGCAATATAATCGATCTTTCATCAATTAGAAAAAGTACAAATTGTATGGATAGAAAGGGATCGTAGATTTTTAGATATCATCGTGGTATTGTACTCAAAATTTATTCAACATAGTGTAACAAAGATAAAGAGGAATTTATGTATTTTCATTTTTTTTCAATCGAAACCATAAGGCGTGATGATTCGATTTATTTTATTATGAATATTTATTAATATTCCATTATTAATATGAATTTAATAGGAAACATGATAAGGCATTTTATTATCATACAACTTATTATTAAAACGAGTCTTGAGTGGACCATAAAGGACATTAACCAATGAACGCATAGTCGATTAATTAACTATATGACACACATAGCGAATAAATGAATTGTCTATAGGGAAGTAGACAGATTATTAACGAAATGCTCTCTCTTTCTCTCTCTCTCTCTCTCTCTCTCTCTCTCTCTCTCTCTCTCTCTCTCTCTCTC